AGTGCTTGACAAAATGGCTCTTTACTGGCTATGTGACACAGGACCTCTCTGAGCCTCCGTTTCCCCACCTATAAAAATAGGAAAGATACTTCTGCCCCATCGGATTGTGGTGAGGGTTAAATAAAATGCTGTCTATTAAGCTCCTGGAAGGGAGCCTGACAGAGGGGGATGGCTCTCTGAGGTCACTCTAAAGCCTGCAGCCCACTCTCAGGAGATGACCTCTTGGAACTGATTCTCGTTGTCCTTGGAAAGCAGTACAAAGTGCCCAGCTGCGTGAACCCACATGCCCAGCTCTGCCGCAAGAGATGGGCCCAGACCTCAAGAACCAACAGGTACAGAAAAAGGGCAAAAAACACACAAAACAAACAAAAAAAGCAGGCTGTGGGGGGAGAACTGTCAGGTACTGAGAGCCTTCTCTCTGCTCCACACGTGGCATCTCACTCATCCCTCATGTTATCCTGCTCGGATCAATTCCAGTAGAAATAGTTCACGTGCCAGGCATCCTCTAAGTGCTTCATGGGCATCAGCTCATTCTATCCTAACCTTGTCAATTTGAGGGAAGGATTTCACTCCCCTTTTACAGATGAGGAAACTAAGGCTTGGAGAGAAGAAGCTAGTTCTAGTCTTTCCCTCATTCCAGAACCTAGAGATCACAGGTCCAAAACCTTAAGCCGGATCCTGCGTGAACACTGCAGAGTCCGCACCAACTTCAGGGGGAGAGAGAGCCCAGTAGCTGTGTGGGGGACAGGGAGGCATGAATTGGTGCCAGGGAAGCCCTGGGAGCTCCAGCAACCACAAGGCAGGGCAGGGAGTCCGATACCCTGTGGGGACCCTCCTGTCTTCCCCACTGGCTGGCTTTGCTCCCATTGGAAGGTGAGCTGGGTCAATCCTCGCTTATCTCACCTCTGCTTTCTGGTTTGCAGACAGCTTGTCACACGTCAGGAAAAGCCCTCAGAGGAAGGCAGGCAGGTCCTCTGTGGCCCGTGGTCCTATTTCTCCTGAAACTGACAGGCCAGCCATGGGTACGCCTCCCGGGAGGTGACTGTGAGAAGAGGAATGAGTCAAAGCCCTTCTTCCCGGAGGACTGCCCCTTCCAGCACTTTGAGAAGGAGGAGCACATCTGAACTCATCCCAGACCCCGATGACAGGACCATCTCCCTAATTGTCCTTAACGCAAGCTAGAAATTACTTTCCACAGAAGTCACCATGTCAGCCTTGGTGACTTCCCCAATGGCTGTTTCGTAACTGCAAAGGCCACAGCCAGCCAGAGGCTCCCTTGGTCTACACCTGCCCTGCCTCTCCCAGCCCAACTTAATCAGATGACAAGCGTCACCTAGGTGTCCAGCAACTGGGGACTGACTAAGTGACAGAGCATCCATAAGAAGTCATACCCAAGCGATCCTGAGGATAACACACACTTCTCTTTATCAGCACACCTCCAGTTGCCACTGAAGCGAAAACGCACACTGTAAGACCCTGTAAAACCATATCCCTTGTAGGGAGGATCTGAAAAATAAAGCAAATTAGGGAAGTCAACAAAAAAGAAACAGACTCATAGAGAACAAACCAGTGGTTACCAGTAGGAAGAGGAAATACGGGAGGGGCAAGATATGGGTAGAGGGTTAAGAGGTACAAGCTATTGTGTTTAAAATAAATAAGCTACAAGGGTGTATTATACAGCACAGGAAATAGAGTCAATATTTTGTGGTAACTATAACCTTTAAAAATTGTCAGTCACTACGTTGTACACCTGTGGCTTATGTAACATTGTACATCAGCTATACTTCAATTACAAAATAAAATAAAAATCACTCATTTAAAAAGTATTCATCTTACACTCTAAAACTCCTCCTAGAGGAAAACATAGGCAGAACACTTTGTGAAATAAATCGCAGCAATGTGTTTTTCGATGTCTCAAGAGTAATGGACATAAAAGCAAAACTAAGCAAATGGGACCTAATTAAACTTGAAAGCTTTTGCACAGCAAAGGAAACCAAAAATGAAACAAAAAGACAACCTATGGAATGGAGAAAATATTTGTAAACAAGGAGACCAACAAAGGATTAATTGCCAAAATATATAAATAGCTTATACAGTATATATCAAAAAACAAACAACCCAATGGAAAAGCGAGCAGAAGATCTATATAGACATTTCTCTGAAGAAGACATCCAGATGGCCAACAGGCACGTGAAAAGATGCTCAATATCACTAATTATCAGAGAAATGCAAATCAAAACTACAATGAGGTATCACCTCACACCGGGCAGAAAGACCATTATTAAAATGTCTACAAATAATAAATACTGGAGAGGGTGTGGAGAAAAAGGTTCCCACTGTTGGTGGGAATATAAATTGGTGCAGCCACTATGGAGAACAGTATGGAGGGCCCTTAAAAAACTAAAAATAGAACTACCATATGATCCAGCAATTCCATTCTTGGGCATGTATCTGGAGAAAACTCTAACTTAAAAAGATACATGCACCCTAATGTTTGTAGCAGCACTATTTACAATAGCCAAGACATGGAAGCAACCTGAATGTCCATCAACAGGTGACTGGATAAAGAAGTTGTGGTATATGTATATGATATATGTGATGGAACATTATTCAGCCAAAAAAAAGAATGAAATAATGCCATTTGCAGCAACATGGGTGGACCCTATCAGCTAAGTGAAGTAAGTCAGAGAAAGAAAAATACCATATGACATCACTTACATGTGGAATCTGAAAAAAAAGATGATACAAATGAACTTATTTACAAACCAGAAATAGACTCACAGACATAGAAAACAAAATATGGTTACCAAAGGGGAAGGGTTGGGGAGAGAGGGATCAATCAGGAGTTTGGGATTAACATATACACACTACTATACATAAAATAGATAAACAACAAGGTCCCACTGTATAATACAGGGAACTATATTCAGTGTCTTGTAATAACCTGTAATGGAAAAGAATCAGACAGAGAATATATACAACTGAATCACTCTGCTGTACACCAGAAACTAACACAACATTGTAAATCAACCATACTTCAATAAAAATTTAAAAAATTAAAAAAGTATTCATCTTGTGTTTGTAGGGTTGTCTATGTGTCTACGCATAGAAAAAAGTCTGTAAGGACATCCAAAAAGTCAGCTGATGGTTTTTACTCTTTTACATACCTTTATATGTTTTATTAATAATAATAATAATAATAATCATTTAATTAATTAATTATTATCATTTTATTATTATTTTTATTTTTATTTTTATTATTATTATTATTATTATTATTATTATTATTATCCATGCCAGCCACAATGGTAAGAATGTCACCAGCATTATCTCATTTAAGCCTCACATCAAGATGAAAAGGCCAAATTCTTACCCCACCATTTTTTTTATTGCAGTATAGTCAGTTTACAATATTGTGTCGATTTGTGGTGTACACTGTAATAGTTCAGTCATTTATATACGTACATATATTCATTTTCATATTATTTTTCATTATAGGTTACTACAAAATATAGAATATAGTTCCCTGTGCTATCTTTCCTCATTTAAAAATGAGCACTTACTACCTTTATAAGGAGAAAAATAGAAAAGCTATTTTCACTTCGGAAAAAAAATGTTACTGCACACCGTAAAAAGCTCTGGGCCAAGTGAGAGATCTAAAAATGCATGAGATGTGGCCTTTGACTTCGAGAAGGTGCCAGCCTCAAGTCCTGAATAATTAGACACTAGTTCACCTCTAGTATGTGGACCAAGAGAGGCACCAGGCCAAGTGTTATGAGAACACGGAGCAAAGGATATAGCTTTAGGGGCAATGAAACAATTTACTGAACACCCACTATGTGCCTTCTGCTCTGAGCATCTTATCTCATTTCAAGCTCATAATAGCCCTTGATGTAGGCATAACTTCTGCCATTGTACTCACGAAAATATCCAGGCTCAACAAGGCTCTGGAGTTTTCTCAGTGAAAGCCAGCAGTAGTGGAAATAGTACTTGAATTTCTGTCTCCAAAGCCAATGTTTTCTCTCCCACTCCTGGTACTCCCACCATCCCTGGGGGGTGTTCAGGATAAAGCAGCTCCTGAGCCTAAACTTGCTTCCTAGGCAATATTGCAACAGCACGAGGCAAGAAAAGGCAATTCTCTCTCCGGGCCTCCGTTTTCTCATCTTCATAGGGCTGGTGTGAGGGTTGAAAGAGAAATCCAACACATCACCGGGCAGAGATAATCATGAAATTCAAGCATCTTGAAGACATGCCTGGTGCACACTGAACGCTTGGTAAAATAGACATTCTGGAGTCAGGCTGCCTGGGTTTGCATCCATTCTCTGCCACTTACTATGTGACAAGGGACAAGTTATTTAAATTCTCTGTGCCTTACTTTCTTCACCTACAAAATTCGGGTGACGATAGAAGTCCCAACCTCATACTTTTGTTAGGACAATCAAATAAGGGAATGCATATAGGATTCAGAGCAACGCCTGGCACATGGTAGATGGCTATAAAAAGGTCATTATTGTTATTGACATCCTTTTGTATTGTGAAGACTTCTGAAGTCATCAGAGCCTGCTCCTTGCTATTAGCGGTATTAAAGGACACCTTGAAACGAGAACATCCCTGGGAGGGGTAGTAACACCACCAGTTTCCATCTGCTGACCCCTGTTAAAGAGGGAGGAGATGGTGTCACAAATGACAATGACAGATGGAGATGCAGGGGTGAAAGGGGCCTTGAAAGGAAGGGGAAGAGCCTCTCCCAGGAGAGCCTAAACTGGGAGGAAAGGTCACTTCGGACAGCACTCTAACATTTAGCTCCTCACCCAGCCCAGTCCTAGCAGCTCAAGATGAGGCAGAAAATGGTAATTAATTACAGCTCACCTTGTTGAGCAGTTGTTTGGATGAGGCAATTCCCTCGACTTTATTCACGCAGGGAATCATTCAATCCTCATGCAATGCTATGAGCACATGCTTAGACCCCCATTTTACAGATGAGGAAACTGAGGCCCGGGAAGCTCAAATAACTTGCAAACGCCACACAGCTAATCTGTGGTCTGGCCAGGACTGCAACTCAGGCTGTACAAACCCAAAGCCCACATTCTTTCTCTAACCCCACACTCTGTCCCCGTGACTTGCACTCCCCTGATACAGTGGATGGACAGACACACCCCTTTACCTCCTGGGTCCCCCATATCATATGGCTTCCCCTCCCATGTAGCCAAGACAAGCAAGCCTCTACCTTTCGGCTGGAAGCCAACCATGGAACCTTCTGGCCTCCTTTGGAGACAACCACTGGCATTGTCTAGAGGAACAAGCTAGTCTGGCCAGAAGTCAGGATTCTCTGGTCTCAGCCCTCCCCTCTGGTGGTCCCATTCAAGGTTGCCCACCATCCCTACTTGTCACAGGAGGTTTAAGCCACCCATCCCACAGGCAGGATTGACGTCTGTTTTGGAGAAGCCTTTGGGGAGACACACCTCATCCCCTGTGACCTAGACACTGGTCACTTGACCTGGAGTCCAGACCCACCTCCCTGTACCCATCCACGCCATGGGTGAGGTTGGAGGGTGGCCAGCAGCCAGAGAGGCAGCACTCCAGAGTGGGAAAGCTGGATGCCTCTGGGAGAGCCGGCAGGACCCGGGGACGAGACCCGCAGCTCATGACACCTGCTTCTGTCCTGCTGTTCACTCAGGTGTGAATTGCCCCTCTCCGGGCCTCAGCCTTCCCAGCTGAAAAATGAGATGTTGGGCTAGACAGCCACTCAGGACCTTTCAGTCCCCCCAAATGCGGGGATTCTATGATAGCCTTCTCTTCCTGCTTGGTGTCCACAAAGGAAAAGGAAGACACAGTCCCCACCCTCAAGGAAATCAAGTGGGGAGGCTGGGGTCGTGGGAAGACAGTGAGCTTTGTAGCCCCTGGGATTTGGGTTCAAATCCCAGCTCCGAGTATGTGACCTCAAGTTATTTAACTTCTGTAAGCCTCAGTTTTCCCCCACTGTAAAATGGGGCTATAAGAGCTACCCTTAAATTAATAGGGAGTGTAGTCACATGAGATAGACACCACTTCACACCTATGAGGATGGCTATCATTAAAAAAAAGAGAGAGAGAAAAGAAAAAGAAAAAGAAAATAACAAGTGTTGACCAGGATGTAGAGAAACAGGTACCCTCGTGCACTACTGGCTGGAAGATAAAATGGTGCAGACACAGTGGAAAACAGTTCAGCAGTCTTTCAAGGTAAACACAGAATAACCGACAGTTCCACTCCCAGGTATATACCCACGAATTGAAAGCAGGGACTAAAACACGTACTATGCACCAATGCTCAGAGCAGCGTTATTCACAAGAGCCAAAAGGTGGAAACAACCCTAGTGTCCATCTACAGGTGAATGACTAAACAAAATGTGGTGTAGACGTCCAATGGGGGATTATTCAGCCATAAGAAGAAAAAAAAATTCTGACACGTGCTGTGACAGGCATGAACCTACAAGACGTTATCCCAAGTGAAATTAGCCAGACCCAAAAGATAGCCACGGTACGATTTCCCTATGTGAGGTGTCGAGAGCAGGCAAATTCATAGAGTCAGAAAGGGGAAAAGAGGTTACCAGGGGCTGGAGAGACGGGGGAGTGGGGAGTCGTCTAATGGGCACGGGGTTTCAGTTTGGGATGATGAAAAAGTTCTGGAAATGGATAGTGGTGATGGTTGCACAATATCGTGCATGTACTTACATGCCACTTTTACCTGTACACTTTAAATGGTTAAAATGGTAAATTTTATGTTATGTCTATTTTACCAAAATAAAAAATTAATATACCATCTGAAAAAAACTCATGGGGTGGTTAAATGAGAGGTGTGTAACTCCCAGCATATTCTCTGGCAAAAGGAATGTCATCCCCACATATTTCCTTGCCAAGAAGGGACAGGAGACCCACAGGAGTCCCTCACTAACAGGAGTGCCCTTGGCTGAGCCCCAGAGCAGGCAGCGAGTGGGAGAGGGTCTGCCAGGCCTCACCGTCCACTCTCCCCCAGACCCCTGCCCTCAAGGAGCCTCCACTACTCAGGGAAGAGATGAGCAGGCTCACCAGTGACACCCACAGAGGGTCAAATGTGATGAACAACAAGGTCCAAAGTGCTCCGGGAGGTCAAAGCCATTCAGAGGAGAAAGTGTGTACACCAGGCTGGGAGGGGCAGCAGGTGCAGGATGGGATCTTGTCCCATAAACCAAAGTCCTGGGGAATTTGAAGGTAAAGACGAGGGCAGTGGCTGCTGGGAACCTGGGGAGGCCTCCTGGAGGAGGTGACCTTGAACTTGGTCTTGCAGGAGGCAGAGACAGGACATTCCATGGGGATCCCAGGTTTCCAGGAACCCCTCTGCTTAGGCTGGATGCAGCGAAGAATCATTTATGGAGCTTCCATTCAACACTGAGCTCTTTCAGTCCTGACAGTGACCCTGTGAGGTGGCTCTCATTGTGCTCAAGTTCTAGAGACGGAACCTGAGGCCTGGAAGACTGAGCAACTTGTCCAGGGTGGTGGCGGGAAGGTTAACGCCCCGGCCTATCGGATCCCCAAACCTGTACCCCTCCAACAACATAAAACTGCTCCCCGGGGATTAGAGCTGGTCCCACTCCCCACATCACCCCATCCCACTTCAAGGCCTGGGCTCAATCAGCTTTCCACGATATTTGCTGTGTTGCCTTGGGAAATGCACTCAAAGTCTCTGATCTTTGGTTGCCTTATCGGAAAAATGGAGAGTATAAGAGTTTACTTAGAAAGATTTCTGTAAAGATTAAACCAGATACTGTGTCTGATGTGCTCAGTACAGTCTACAGCACGTTCTAAAAACCCAACAATTGACAGCTAA